TGTTTTTCAATTGAAATTAGAATTTAATAAATTTTCTATTGTCTTTTTGTTGGATATATCAGAACAATGTTTTAATAAATATGAAAATAAAAGATGTACAGATCAATATATATAATTTATAGAAATTAAATTTTCTATTAACTTGATATATAATAAACAATCTAAACACGCATTTTTATTTTTGATAAAAAATCAAACATTCCAATTATTCATTCATGATATATTTAAGGTGCGTTCCGAGTTACACATGTAGCGCGTAGACCGGTGTAGACTGCAGAGAAAGTCTAATTTAATCAATGCACGCATTAGAAATGCTTTGGTAGTACTGAAAATTTTCTAAATTGTAATATCCATACTCTGGGGACTTATTATGGTTCTTGAAACAAGTGAAAATTACGAAAGTGATCAAATTTACTAAAATATTTATAATTTCATTGGTTAATATCTAGTGAGTTTGCTCATTTTTGAGTTTGCTCAATTTTCACTTCGTCTAAAGAATCGTAATAAGACTCCTGGGTTATCAATCATGAAACTTTTCTAGGATGAAAAGTGAAAGGCCAATATTATATGCGTCTGTTTTTTGTCGTACAATTTTTCAAGTCTGTCGATTGATTATAGGACAAAGAAGTCCGAGATCCTCTCTGTCTTGCAGCCAATTAACACGCTTGAAAAATTCGTCGTATGTAAAGGGTGTCCCAAAATTAACGCAAGATTTGAATTTGCCGCCATTTGTGCAGTAAAGTGTTGGCAACCAAAAAAAAAAACATTTAACAGCTGACAGTTTAGGGTTAATGAAAATGAGTTCGTTGAATGGATTATTGAATCATCAACAAATGGATGCTGATTTTTCGAGCAAAATCATCCTAAGCGATGAAGCACATTTTCACCTTGATGGCTTTGTTAATCGCCAAAATTGCCCCCTAGATGGTGTGATTTAACATTATTAGATTTCTTTTTATGGGGTTATTTGAAATCACAGGTCTATGTCAACAAGCCCACAACCACCCGTGCATTAAAGGAGGAGATTCAACGCTGCATCAACGAAATTCAGCCACATTTATGCAAAATGGTCATGGAAAATTTCGACAAACGAGTGCGTATGTGCATGCAAAGCCATGGAGGCCATTTGCCCTATGTGTTATTCCACAAATAACCCTATCCTATGTACTTTATGATTAAAAAAAAAAAAACAATCAAAAGACTAAAAACTGTGTTTTCTATTTAATTCAAATCTTGCGTTAATTTTGGGACATTTTACATACGGGACCTTTACATACGACAAAAAAACGGACGTATGTAATATTGGCCAAAAGCAAAGCTGAAATAAAGTTCGGACTTCGATGAAGTCGTCAGAAGTCGCGCCGCGCATCGACATGTTTTTCTATACTAACACACCAATATCTCACGCAACTTATGATACACGCAGTCGCACATTCATATCAATTTTCGTATAATAAATTCGTCGCGATAAAATGTCTAATGCCTAATTCACACTGGACGCAATAAGCGTCAAGCAGCAAAGCAGTGTAAATTAGGCATAAGTCTAATTTTAAAGCCCGATGTCCGCGATGCTAGAAATTGATTTGAGATCTCGGACAGAAAAAAAATTAACAAATCACATTTGAACAATTTGATCACATGATCATTGCGATTGTCAATTCTTTCTTCATCCGAGGTCTCGGACCGATTTCTAGCATCGTGGACACAAAACTTAAGAACTCGATGTTATTTGTCGTGTAAACTACGACCTGTATTCAGAATGCGCTTACAACAATGTTAGCGCGCTAACATGCTATAATTTACGTTATGCATACTATAGAATTTCAGAAATAAAAGCGCGTTCTGAATATGGGGCTATATGTTTGTGAATTACTATTTCATAAGATTATAAAATTTTCGTATCAAGCAAATATTGTTACGCCTTGACAGCTTAAAACGCTATGTTACACTAAGGCCGGTATTTATAGTCGGTTCTTATTTTAAGATCGTCTTAAGTAATGTCTTAAAATACTAATACGACCCTCTGATTGGCTTATAACATCTTAAGACTGTACTTAAAACAACCTCAAATATAAGAATCGATTATGAATACCAGCCTAAGAAATGATGAAGAATATATCAATTTCAAAATTTATTGTCGTTCTCGGCATAAACTCCACTTTACAAACACGTATTAATGCGTATATTTTAATTCTGGAAAAGGATTTTCTGTGAAAGAGAAAAAAAGTACTTATTATACAAAAATTATATGATTAGTCAGTAATATAGACAGCTTTAAGATCCCGTTAAAGCCTGTATGAGACTACCGACTCTGCAAGTCAATCTGACTGCCAACTCTGACTGCCGACCAATAATGGACCAATCACAATAAGACTGATTCAATGTGATTAGTCTATTATTGGTCGGCGGTTAGAGTTGGCAGTCGGATTGGTTTGCAGAGTCGGTAGTTTGATACGAGTTTAAGAGGATGCTGGAATGACCAAATTGTCGATATTTCATAGGTCGAAATCTCCAAATTTACTGATTAAAAAATCCTTTTACAGGATTAAAGTAGACGCAAAATTTTTGATGCAATATATTTTGCACTAAAATCGGAAAAAAATTAAAAATTTACATTTTTTCAACTCATAAAGCTGACGTAGATGTTTTCTTAATACAAAAGTTTTATAGCTCGTATGGACCATACGATAGTGCACCACTTAGCGCATGACGCGCACAAACAATACTGAGTTTATGAAACTAAGATTAATTCACCCATTTTCATTCGTGAACATGCTCGTTTTCACCAATGTAGATTAACTTTAATCTCGGTTCAATTTACTCTTTGTCCTTTCCTAATCTAGAACTAGAAAAAGACAAAGAGTAAGTTAAACCGAGATTTAATCTACATTGGTGGAAACGAGCATAAAAGCTTCAAAAGAAAGTTTCATATCGATTTGCGAATGACTGAATGTATACGAATGCTGAGCGAAGACCCGGAATGGTAAACAAAGCAATAATTGTATTTAACAGTAGATGTTCGAGCTTTAAAAAGATGGCGTTGCAATATGTTAGATAAGGACAGATGAATGCATTTAAGCTAGACACAACGATATATAATAAGAAATAAGTAGAAATGTCACTACTATCGAATTTGGAATAGTTTTGTCGGTAATACAGAGGGCATCCCCTTAATGGAGAAATTTTTTACTTTTTATTTTTCATTTTAGGAAAAAAGTTATGATTGATACTTTGAATTCTTAGTGTGCAAATCCATGCAGCGGAATAGCGTAACACAAAACGAGAGAAGAACCAATCACAAACGTTCTGTATTTCACAACAATTTTTAGCAGAATAGCTTTTGCATACGCAGCTGTGTAATATCATAGAACTTATAGTAATGGAAGAGGAATACGGGCGTCGAGCTGTGAGCAAGAGCTAAAGGGCAGAAATATCTTTCTATCCCCTTCTATCCCTTTTTGGCACATGTGTAAAAAGAAGAAAAGTTACTGAGCCGGACAGAAATATTTTCTATCCTCTTCTATTGACACAGAAAGAAGAAAAGTTACTGAGCAGGACAAAAGTATACATTTTCTGTCTCTCAAAGTGCGATTACATGGAGCGCGGTACGCGGCACGCGGTACAGTAACTAATTGTAACTATTACATGGAACGCGGTTTGCGGGTTAGTGACAAATTCACATTAGTATGAACTTTTTTTAAATATATTAACTTACTTTTATACACACTTATTGTTATTTTTTTAACAAATTTACTTAATAATTGCGTTTAAATTAATTAATTCCATTAAAAAGTGCATAGCAGTGTATAGTATTGTGAGTTTGTTATTGACCTATGCCGCAAATCGCGCGCTCCATATAATATCAGTGACCTAGTTTCCACCGAGGGAAAACCGGATCAATATGTAAGAATCAACCAACTACTGTCGAGTATTCCCCTGTTACAGTCGAACGACAGGGGAATGTTCGACTGTAGTTGATTGGTTCTTACATTTTGATCCGGATTAAATCCTCGGTGGAGGGCCAAAGTGTGCCTTTCAACAAACGACAAGGTGCAGTCACAATAGAAGAAATAAGGAATTAGGAATAAGGAATAAGGCTTTCAACCTATCAGATATTGGATACATTGAAGTACACGATTTTTGATAGGTTGAAATCACCGCACTAACATAGTGTGACACAATGCGACACAGGCCTAGTTTCTACTGAGGATTTAATCCGGATCAGAATGTAAGAATCAGCCAACTAGAGTTGAGCATTCTTCTGTCGTTCGACTTTAACAGGGGAATACTCGACTGTAGTTGGTTGGTTCTTACATTCTGATCCGGATTAAACTCTTAGTAGAAACTAGGCCTTTGACAGTTGTCATGGCCGCTCATTAAACGCATCGATAGATGGTGGAATGCACTCTGAAAATTTTTGTGTATTCCAAAGATCATCGAAAAAAGTGTTGCTACCTTTCTGCCTCTGACTGTACATACATACATACACTGTCTTTAAAAGCAGTGGCACACGATGCTTATTTTCTGCTGGATTGCTAGCTGTATTAAAATCTTGTGCCTAGTGCCTAGCATCACAGCCAATACAATGGTAAGATTCTAATCTAAATACCAATCCAGTAGGAAAACAAGCATCGTGTGCCGCAGGCTTTAGAGACTAATGATAATCGTTTTCGCGTGAGGTTCACGGAGGCTCACTGCTCGACAGCTCGACGTCATTAATGATGGCGCGCGATTTGTCACGATTAGGTTAGAGGACAGCAGCGATAGTTATCAACAACTGTAATAACGGCGTGATAATGATAGTGGCATGTGTTGTTACAAACCGCGTGTAGTCCGGACAGGAATCCCGGACTGCCGTACGCGAGCGCGAGAACGACCGAGAAAGCATCGTTGCACTCTGAAGAGTGGAAGCATTGATACTTTGTCATTTTCATTGATGAAAAAGGACGGCGATCCGCCATCCTCGAGAAAAACGAAAAATGCCATTAGTCATAAGGAATTGCCCGCATCTGGCCAATCGCGGCGATCTCGCTTTCATCGAGGCAGTGATGGCCCGGGAAGAGCGTTTCGCTAAATGCAGTGACTGCGACACTCCCGGGCCCAACCTCTGGCTCTGCCTATTCCCCGACTGTCGTTGGGTCGGCTGCGCCGAAACGCATCTCGATCACAGCACCATCCACAACCAGAACTTCCCGACTCACTGTGCCCACATGAATCTGTCGACCAACAGGATCTGGTGCTATGCTTGTAAGAGCGAAGCAATCGCCAAGCATGTTCCATCACCCCCATTATCACCAACACAAGTAGAATTCAAGACTATGGGCAACAAGTTTGCCGGAGACGCTCCTGGCAGCATCGAGTCTAAGCTTGATGGTTTAGACAGGTTGATGTTCGATAAGTAAGCAAATGCTTGAGTAATAATTTTAACATTAGCGATATTTATATCTAGATAATATTTCGTGCAAAAATACACTATTGAAATCCACTTATAATTGTTACTGTGATAATGTTGCTATGATAATAACAGAAATATTTGTTGAATTAAACTTGCCAAAAATCATATTTGCACTTTTGATAATGAGCAACAGCTATAATTTTTATTGAAATATTGCTATAATATATGTTATATATTTACATGTGGCATAATATATATTATGTATTTATGCATAATATGTATTATATATTATATAAATTTTTTATTACAATTGTTACTGCAAAGTTGCTATAAAATTGCTGTACTCATTTTGGATGTTTTTTTTGCTTGCAATATTGCATCAAATGAGTACTTACCTTGTTGGCAATTTGATTTTAACATATTTCAGCAAGTTTTGATTATGTATTTATTATAAAAAAAATACTGGAAAAATGCTAGATGAGAAGTCTATTTTGTCTGTAGCTGAATTAATTATATGTATACTTTTGAAACCTGAAGTAAAATAGGTTCGATAGTTTACAAAAGTAAAGAAGAAAATTTCTAGTGCAGTCTAATGCAGGAAAAAGGAAAGAAAAAATAGACTTAAGATTTCTATATTTACATTGGTCCCTTACTTAAAAAATGATACAACAAAAGTAATAAAAAACTTAAAGTATCCTAAGAAATTAAATTGTGATATTATTTTACTAATCAAACAATATTGACAAAAAAGAATATGTCTCTTAAAATAATCAATTTTTGAGTTGTGACGATTTTGATGGTTTTGTTATGAAGAGAGTTTAGTTCACTTTTAATGATTGGATAATGTTTACTTGATTCATTCATTGTAATAATTTGAAAATCACATTTTTTTTAGTTATATTTTGAAATACAAGGGATGATACGCAAAATTAATGTTAGAAGTTACTATGAGAAATGTACAAGAGTAGTTATTTTTGTATTAAAAATCTTATGTTTATATGTAAGGCTAATGCTCGTATTCATAGTCAGACTTTGTACTTAAGACTTCCTTAAATTTATCTTTGGATGCTCAGCAGCCAATGAAATAATTTGTAGAGTATCTGAAGATAAATTTAAGGAAGCTTTAAATATAAGGCCTGACTATGAATATGAGCATCAGGCTTTTATCATTAAAAATTTCTATATGAAATGTGTAAGTAATTAGTTTAGCAATCTTATATATATATATATACATATATAATATTATAGAAATCTTATAAAGATTTCTAATGCTGAAATAATTATTTGCACATTTTTATTCTGAAACAAACTCTATTATTGAATTAAAAACAGTTTTTTAATCTCCAGAATCTTATCTCTAGAACTCAGTAATTAATGATCGATTTTAGAATGATTATTAATTGATTTCGTCAATTGATTTTTAATTGGTCATTTTTATTAATAACAAGATTTATTCTAAAAATAATATATTCAGCATGAGTTAAATTAAGTTTATAATTGCAATTCTATGAGAAAGAAACATTTAATATATATTTTTTAACAGGTTTTATGGAGATTGGTCAATAAATAGAATCAATTCAGAGAAAGTAAGTTCATTTAATGAACGATCTGGGGATTCTCCCGATAGTACAGACTCAGATGAGAGCAAAGACTTCTCTGGAAAGCCCAGAGGTTTAGTGGGCTTGCAGAATATTGGCAATACATGTTACATGAATGCAGCACTACAAGCCTTATCTAATGTGTCTCCTTTAACTCAGTTTTTCTTGGATTGCGGTCATATGGTCAGTTACATGTCGAAAGATAGGAAACCTGGACTGAGTCTGAACTACTTGAACCTTATTCGAGATATGTGGAACAAGAAAACCAGAGGATATGTTGTGCCGCATGGTATCCTTTCAGGCATCAGAACAGTACATCCAATGTTTAGAGGATATCATCAACATGACACACAGGAATTTCTTAGATGTTTTATGGATCAGCTACATGAGGAATTGAAGGAGCATATTGAGGATGATAGAGACATCCAGCTGCGCCTGAAAGGATTGGGAGATCAGTCCTCAGAGGATGAGGATGAGACCGAAATTGACGGCAATGCATCCAGTCAGTCCGATGCTGAATATGAAACCTGTGATTCAGGCGTGAGCGAACAAAGCTCTCTGAGCGATGAAGGTGAACGCGGCACAAAGAGACGTTACTCTCGCGTGTCGCAGACGGAAAAGCTACGAAATAAATTCACCAGTAGGAACATGAAAAAATCGAACATCGAACCGACGTTGCCGTTTGCTCCACCGCAACGGTCTCCGCAAAACTCTCCGGCCAAGCATCGCACCAAGAAACAAATAAAGACGCGCAGTATCATCAGTGATACTTTTGATGGCAAGCTTTTGAGTAGCGTGCAATGCTTAACATGCGATCGAATTTCTACTCGAGTGGAGACCTTCCAGGATTTGTCCTTACCCATTCCAAGCAGAGATCACATCGACATGTTGCATCAAGGTTCGTTGACACCACAGAAGGCTGGACCATGCTCAGATGTAGTCTACGTGACCAATCAGTCAGGCTGGCTGTCATGGTTCTTGCAATGGATGCGTTCGTGGTTCTGGGGACCAGTGGTCAGTTTGCATGACTGCCTCTCAGCATTTTTTAGTGCCGACGAGCTCAAAGGCGACAACATGTATAGCTGTGAAAAATGCAATAAGTTGCGCAATGGCATCAAGTTCTCCAAAGTCTTGGAATTGCCCGAGATATTGTGCGTTCATTTGAAAAGATTTCGCCATGAACTAATGTTCAGCTCAAAGATTGCCAACTATGTTTCATTCCCACTCGAGGGTCTTGATATGAGACCCTATTTGCATAAAGAATGCGTGTCCAAGATCACTACTTATAATCTGATATCGGTCATTTGCCATCATGGTACGGCTGGCGGTGGCCATTATACCTGTTATGCATTGAATCCCATTGCCAACAAGTGGTACGAGTTCGATGACCAGTGTGTCACGGAGGTATCACCGGAAACGGTAAAGCATTGCGAGGCATACGTACTGTTCTACAAAAAATGGTCGCCAGAGATATTACAATTGCGCGACAAAACCATGGAGTTGATGGAAATATCATCCCGCGAGGTTTCTGATTTAAATTTTTTCGTGTCTCGACAGTGGATCAATCGCTTCAATACATTCTCTGAGCCTGGTCCGATCGATAACTCCGATTTTCTGTGTCCGCATGGGGGAGTAATTCCTGTTAGAGCGCAATTTGTTGACAAGATTAGTATGCCCATACCGCAAGCAGTTTGGGAATACTTGTATAATGCGTAAGTCTGATTGCAATAATATTATTGCAGTTGGATTCCGTTTATTATATTTTATTAAAGCACCCGATTTGTTTTTTACTGCTTAAATTGGTTGGATTTGCATACTTGTTACTATATTGGCTAGTAGTGCAGTACTAGCATTGCAACCAATACAATAACAAGTATGTCAATCCAGCTAGCAATTTCAGCAGGAAAAGAAGCATCATGTGCCGCCGATTTAAATGAAATATAAAATAAATAAATTTGTCCTCACTTTTAAATATTAGGTGTAGTAAAAAGTCATCGCGTATTTTTAAAAAACATCTATCAGTAAAAATCGCAATTACTTTCTTACCAACAATATAAATATATCTTAATAGAGTTAAAGTTTCAGCTTTAAAAATCTCTTTTTTAAATTATACGATACGACAATTTTTAATGGAGTTATGAGCAATTAAAGTCAAAATAATTCTTTTATTTAATCCGCGATAACTCAGTAATCAAAAATCGTAGGAATATTAAAAAAAAAACGATTTTGTAGGGAAAGTATCAAGCTTTCACGATATGTAATCGAAAATTTTCTCAAATTCGTTTTGGACACGTTACAAATCCACAAAGTGAGAAGAAAATTTTTCGTCTTTTTCAGCTCGTAGTTTTTGGTATGTAAAAATTATCAAACTCATATAAACTTAAAAAATGTGATAAGCTTTTAAAAGTAGAGATTTCAAGCTTTAAAACCCTTTTTTTAAATTTGAATTTCATTCATTATTGACGAAGATATTGTATATACAACTTTGAGCTAAAAAATACGCGATGACTTTTTACTACACCTAATATATAAACTCATAATTGAGTTTATATATTTTTATTATCTGAACGATTCGAATAATAACAAGTTCAACATTAGTTTAGTTTTCTGACTATAAGTTTCTATTATCGAAATTAAAAGTCCTGATAGAGAGAAGAGCTAATGAACTTTTATTATCCAAATTATTTAATTATCGGACTGTCTTTCAACATGTTTGAACAAACGGAGTTTCACTACTTTTTATATTATGTTTCTTTGTACACACACACACACACACACACACACACACACACACGCGTGCGCGGGCGCGCGCGCGTGCGCACATATATATTTCTAATATCTATTTCCTTTTTTAGATTTGGAGGTGGTCCAGCTTGTACGCATCTGTATGAGTGTCCGATATGTGAAGAAAAATACGAATCCTTGCAAAAACGTAGACAATACGAAATGGAACTATTCCAACGGTTAAATACCGACAATCCCACAGCCATTTATGCGTTGGCTATGGCATGGTTGAGACAATGGCAGAGTTTTGTTCGAGGCAAAGAGACACAGCCACCAGGACCAATCGATAATAATTCCATTATTGTAAATAAAAATGGACAAAATAGTCTTAAAGTTGGTAAGTCTTCTATCTTGATAAATAAACAAGTCTTTTTTTTTCTTGAGAATTTGTTAATAATTATAATAATTATCATATTATGAAAAAAAATTTTTTGTTACACAAATTCTTTTTTATAGGCTCGGATTATGGCCAGATCCCCGAAGAATTGTGGCAATTTTTTCTGACTACGTATGGCGGTGGACCAGAGCTAATGCTCCACTCGTGTCAACGACCGGTGTCCACTCAGCCTAACGTTTCTGTACATTCCGCGTCAAATCCAAATTTGATAGATTCGAATTTTAAATGCAATCGCGTAGAAGCTAAGTCTAACAAACTTTGTACGACCAGGAGCTCGGAGACGATTTCGCAACAGGACAGCGCGATCGAGAGCCTAATTTCAAACAGCGACTTCCATCAGACGCAGAGGGATGTTTGTGAGTGAGTAGGCTGTGCGAATTGCGATTTCGCAGTCTTGTTAATCACACGACAAATATTTCCATTGATTTTCTTTAGTTTGGTTTCTAAGTAATCAGATTTTAGTCTACTTTTCTCTAAATTTCACACTTTTGAAGTTTCACGCTAGGCTCGAAGTCCTTACTAAATGTTTACAGATGAGACGATCTCGATATCTTGGAAATAAAACAATTATTGTCATTTTATGATTTGAAGATAAAAAGACAATCGGATATTTTTGTATCAGTAGCAATTTTTGTACGAAATTTATAAAGCTGAATTACGTGCATCACGCGTTGAATCTAAAAATATTCAAGTCACAAAGAAAAACTGTATGGGTAGATGATCGGATGCATTTGTCACAACATGTACTGTAAATATCTTGATGACAGTAATTTATATTTTATCATAATTCATAGCGGCATATTAATCTTGCTTAGAAAAACTAAAAATAGAATTTATCTCTTAAGTCTGTGGCATACGATGCTTTTTTCTTCTGCTGGATTGTTTGCGTTTTAGCAAGTTATTAGAATTGCACAAAGAATATAGAATTTCTAGTAATTTACTAAAGCAATCCAGCAAGAAAACATACATCGTGGACCACAGACTTTGCTGTGGGAAAGAACAAAATTTGCTGTAAAAAAGAACCGAGAATGCTATACGATACATTTTTATTTTCTTTCCAAATCATCGGTTGGAAAATAGAATGACACTGATTGTTTTAAGTCCATTGTTCTGAAAGGCTGTAAAGGCTCAATTATGCTCGTTCATCGACATGGAATTTCACCGTATAATTTCATCCATTTGGGAGTATTATATATGACGGAAAACGTAGTTATAGTTACAAAAAGTACAAAAAAGATTTGCTATAGACGACTATTATTTAAATACAAATCTTTAGTTCGTACTTTTGCCCAAAGTCTAGACCGTAACATTTGCGCAATCTTGATATAGTTGTATTATATTTTTTATATTGAACGTTCACCGGCGTGTGCATGTCATTCCTGCACATAGATACAAGTGGCTTTCATTTTCGAAGTTATGTCCATAATGTCGTCACTTCTTCATTGGCGGGATAATCTTCATCCGGAAAGAAAAATAAAAGATACAGAAGACTGAAATCGATTTTATTTAAAAAGAAAAAAAATGCTCAATTATAATGTATGTTGATTTATAAGTGGCAACTGACGAAATTGTACAACGTGATGCAAAAAATTTTAATCATCTTCATGTTTTTTTCTTTAACAGATGGAATTATTGTTGTTATTTAGTAATTTATTGCTGTACACATATTTTTCATAAGATTTATAGAACCGGTAAGGATTAGCGTACAATTTGCCGATTTCTTTCGCCTTTTCCTCAAACATGAAACAATTGAGATTAGTAATTATTTATTTAATCAACAAAGTATGCTTCTTAAAGTTTCTGTTTCCTACAACCATAATAAATTGTGAATGATTCTATTTTTTGCATTACGCGTCAAGATAAATTAGTTTTTTGTGTGCCATCATGTTAGGTGAACAAAAATCTCTCTTATCTTACTTTATACTTTTGTTTGTTCACAAATTTTTAAAAATTTCTCACATGTTCAAGTATTTATCAAGCACAACTCTCGATTGTATTATGTATAAAAATGAAGAGGAGAAAGATTACCATGGTTTATAATATTTAAGAATTTATTTAGAATATTAAATATTAATGTTCATAATGTATATGTTAAATTATAACATATATTTTCTACATACCTTTGTGATAAGTTTCACTTTTAGTTTTATATATCACGGTAGTCGTTTCTTGCAACAAAATGTTTAAATAAATAATTTTATAAGTATTTTATGGCTTAGCTACTTCAAGATTACAAAACATAATCTGGAAGAAGAGGCTATATAGGATGAAAGCATTGAGCTATATAAGTATAGTGACTATATAAATACTTGAACACTTTGTATTAAAATAGCATACTTCCCTCTCTTTCAAATTTTTCTCTAGTATTTAAGAAGCGTGTTCTACTGCTAGGCCATTAATTGCATAGTTTAATTATCTTACAGTGAAAAAATGAAGAGTCGCATGTTACGAGCTATCCGCGTAAACTCAATTGTGTTTTCACGACTTTCGTCTCATTACCGAGGACGTTTGTCCTTGTATAGCGATTGATCATTTTAATATCACAATTGCGTATTGCGAAGAAGTAAAACGAAAGTGCAATGAATTCCATTTTGCATTTTCCGCTCGCAGGGACGCAAACAATTAAAAAAAATTGTTAAGGCTAATTGTCTGTAATCATTATCCAGAGCAAAGTGCATAAGGTGAATAATAAATAAGTTGGTTTCTTTATTTATTGAAATATCCAGATTCTAAGTCATTTCAAAACGTTTCTTTGTAGTTTAATGGAGAGTCATAATTTATTCATCAATATGAAATTTATTATTTTATAACAAATCGCTTCACCGTGACTTATTATGAATCAGGATTGATTGAAAAAGTCTAGTGAATAGAAAAAATCATGATAAATTTCGGTTTTTACTGTTCCAAATTTTATTCAATAAATAAATTAGATAAAGCTAGAAAAATGATTAATCTGTAACATTTAAGATATATTTATGTAACTTTATGTGAAAATGTTTGCTTTGATTAATTTTTACTTTAAGTAAATTATACTAATCACTATAATTTAAAGTTTTAAAGGAAAACGAAATTAACTAATAGAATAATAAATCAACAGAATAACAAAATTTCATTATAATAATAAAATCTTTAATTCAATTAAGATGAAAAAATATTTAAAACAAAAACTTTAAATATACGTATATATGAATATATGTATATATGTAGAGTGTCCGGTAATAACCGCATATTCTCGCGGGCAAGTAGAGCGGACTAAACTGATTGTGAGTCAAAAAATCCTTTACTATTTTGCAATTTTCGGTTTAGGTACTTTACACATACACACGCACGCACGCATGCGCGCACGGTGAGTTATTTTAAGTGATACATTGAAATATCTCGAAAAATATAAAAGATACGAAAAAATATTTGATACAAAAGTTGCTCAGGGGGAAAGAAAGTGATGACTTTGGTTAACCTAGAGATGTCTTTAAAGTCAGGTTAAGAATACCTAAAAATTTTTTAAACGGAAATCCCGATTTTTTATTTTATATTCATATAGCTGACGTCAAGACTTTTTCAAAACACTATAATAAAATATATTTTCTTTGAGTACTTTGCAAGTTATGAGGCTTGAAGGGACTTAACAAATCAACGCTGGAAGCGCTTCATTTGAAAATACGTTTAGATAGGCTCATGTATTCAAATTCAGCCTAGGGATTATTACAAGGTCAACTTGATTTTTTAAATGAAAATTAAAAAATCTCAAACTTTAATTAATTTAAATAAAATAAAAAGAGCATTTAAATACTATTTATTGTGCGAAATAAAATATTTTTAATATGCTGTAATACGCGTATTACAGTACGCGTGTTATATAAAAACTCTGATTAGAGAACTTTTAGAGAATTAATGGTTTGGTTAAAATATTGTAAAAAAACATAATAATTGTAAATAAAGAGAATATGAATATAATAATAAAATAATATTTGCTACTAGTGGTGCATTAAAAAGACAAAATTATAATTATTTAGTTCAAAATTTAGTGTAAATTACCAATCAAGATAATACGCATATTAAAAAAAATGTCTTTATGGCATCATACTATTGATTGACAATTTCAGCGGTTGATTAACAATCAACTGCTGAAAGTATCCGATGGTCATTCAGAATCACGACTTTGACATTATGGGTTGAGGTCATTTGAATTTTTTTTTATAACTTTGTAACGCGTAATGGATTACTGCTACAACCTCCCGGTTGTTATGCGTGATGGCCATTGTAAAAAGGTTAAAAGTGCCGAGGGGAGTACTGACGTGTAACTGCAACAACTTGCAAACCGTATGCGGATTCCGTATTTTAGAGGTATCTTTATGCATACTACATTACCGGTCGAAGGAGTACGTCAAAACGAAAGCGGTATCATACATCTGGATAATGTCGATGGATCCGGTACGCATTGGGTAGCGTATGCAGAACAAGAATCATTATGTACTTTGACAATTTTCGACCGCCGAAGGAACTTGAACGGTATCTGGCAAACAGTGTAATCAAGTACAATTACATGCGATTGCAAGTATCTCATCAGCGTTACAGTCAGAACAATTGCGGTCAGCTTTGTGGCGAGCGGCTACAGTGTCTACGAACAATTTAAGAACCGACAATGCGTTTAACTCAGTATTCGTTCGAAACATGTCGCTAACGTTTACGCTGACTAGTAAGAGTAGCGTCCTCGCCGTGAGCTACTTTCCATCGGTAGATTTAGGTGACGGCGATTATGAGCTCGGTCCGACGGACTTTAAAACGTACTATACTCTAGCCAATGTAAATTCAACAAACAACAAGTTTTTACTATGACAACGAGGAAATTGTCATTCCCGAAGGATCGTACGGACTGCGCGATATAGAGCGATATCTGAAGTGCGAAATTTTACGTTCTCACGATGCGAAGGGCAAGGAGGATGAAAAGTTCTCGTTATACACGCCAACAACAATACGATGAGAAGTGAGACCAAATGCGCCTATCGGATAAATTTTACAAAATCTCGCAACGTTGATTCGCTGCTGGGATTTTCGTCGAATTGCATGCTAGAGCCGCGATAGTGGCATAAGTCGGATGTGCCGATAAATATCATTAATGTGAATATCATACATATCGAGTGCAATGTGACCGCGGGTGCGTATAGCAACGGCAGGTGCGCGCACATGAGTTTTCATCGAGCGTGCTGTCAGGATATAATAAGATATTGGAAAGATCAACGCAGATTATTACATACTTTCCGATCGTCGCGCGGAGCATTACGTATCACGATTTGCGTGGGCCAAGACGGCCTGCTCGATTTTTGCGAGAAAGATTAGCGTTAGGTTGCATGTACGGCGGCGCTAACGTAATATGCTTGTGTTGAACGAACAGCTGAAACAGATGAGAAATACACCTTTTACCGGAGAGATTACACCTGGAAAGAAACTCATTGTGTGTAACGATGCATTTTAAAGTCATTGGATTTCATCGTACAAAATGATATCTTGAATATTACCGGTGAGCCGATCTTTAACGACCGCATCATCAAGATTGAGACTCACATCCGTACGCCAACACTACGTTTGGACCTATCGACGAGATACAAATACCCATACAGCAGCAGGATTTGTACACGTTGCCGTGCGAAAGTTTTCTCTACGTCGGAGGAAGATTGACGGTGAGGAAGAAAAACGATCAGAAGTCGACGACGTTTGTAAATAATTGCATAGCGTTCATATTTGATGAAATTCCATATGAACTGTGTGGAGACCGCAACAGAAACGTCGGAATTACCAATACCATCAAAAACTTGTCGATGACGTATGACAAAGCTTTGATTGCGCTAAACGCTGGATAGGACTCTAGATCCGACACGGAAGAAGGACATTTTAATTTTTGCGTGCTGCTCAATATGCTGTTGGGCTTTTAGAAGATTATAAACGCGTGGTTGTAACACTCGTTACGAATTGATTTTGATATGATCGCGCAACGATTACAATTGCTTGGTGGGATGGAATCCTGTGATGGAGCCTAAGATTGAACTATTCAAAGTGCAATGACGGATACCTCGTTTCGTTAAACAAGATCAATAAATTCAATACTGCGAGCATTGGGAAGCGGTCGTTATCTGAGCATGAGTTTTCACTCGTGGGGTATCTGTACGTAGGACAGATCTACTAATGAGATTTTCGGGACATGTTTGAGCCGGGAACAAAAATTTTACGTATTTTTTCTATAAATTTAGAAAATAGATTAGAAGAAGATTCTTTCAAAATAGTTATTATTCTATCATCAGTCAACTTACGTTTCATACTTAGCGCTAGACTTTGCCAATTTTATCACTTTTGTACCTTTGGGACTATTGAGAAATGTAAAAATTTCTGAACAAAATTCTTCATAATTAATGCGAATCTGTAATTTTGATTTAATTAAATCAATGGACATACAATTTCTTTCTTTACTTCATGTATGATTAAGCAAGCTGAAAATTTCTTTCACAAAATGCATTGCTAATCAGAATTGACAAAACAAATGAAATTATTTTCTTCAGATTGACAAAATCTTTACAATTATTATTTCGAAAGAAATGAATCCAAATTTTGTCGTTTGGCAAATCTTTTGGGAGGACGTCAAATATAGCTTTCAAACATGTAAACTCTGAATAAAGAGAATTAAAGTCAATTGCTTCTTCAATGTTCAACAATATAGGAAATTCACACAGTATGTCCCATGTCAATTTTAGTTTATCTGATTTAAGAGACAGGAAACCGAACTTTTTGTAGATTGCATCTGGACTAAAGTAATATCTTTCTTTTGAATATGTGATTGATTTAAAGATGTACCTGATTTTACTGTCAAAAAAATTATCATCCAATTGACTTTGTAACTGGTTTACGAGATTTCGGATTATATTATCAATATCAATAATGATATAGCTATCACTTTCCAACAACAATATTACTTTGCTGAATTCAGGCAACAAATTTTGCAAGAAGGAAAGGTAGCACTCATTTATGTCTTCCT